CTTTGTAGCTCAAACTGATCTTGAATTCACTGTGATTCCAGCACCTGGGAAGCTGAGACAGGGGAATTTTCAGTTCTAGGGCAGTTCTGAGCTCACAGTGAGTTCAGGCTAGTCAAGACTACAAATTTAGACCCTGTCTTTTTTTTTTTTTTTTAAATTTTATTTAAGGAGAAAAAGAAAAAAAAAAACCAGAAAAAGGTTACAAGTTATACAGAATTTCAGAAAGAATAAACAGTAGGAAGTCGCCAGTTAATAGATTACATATTGTTATCTTAGAAATAGTTGTTCAAATTACAAAATTAAAGCGTATAAAGTGGACTTTCAAACAGTGAGACTGCAAACAGTTTTGTTCAATGATCCAACAAAACTCAGTAATATGGTTATCTATCTTATACACTTAAATATATATGCAGTTATATCCTTTAGAGCACATTCTTTTCCTTTCTTTTGTACAATGACAATTACACCTTTTGGGTTTTATTACTCCCACAGTTCTTATTACTTTTTTTTTTGAAGAGAGTAAAACCAAATGTGACATAACAGAACAAGTCAGTCAAATCAAAAGGATGGACATAATAGATAATGTAAAAACAAAATACAAGGTGATCAACAATGGTTACCATACTGCTTCTTGCTATCTTAAAAAGAATTGCCTATATGATCAGTTATAATAAAATTGAGCTAAACAGTAAAGAATAAAACCAAAACATTAGAGACATTACAGGACTTTAAAAGAAGGTAATAGTCAACCAGAATGGGCGTCCTGTATGCCTCATACAGGCTGGGGTCCTGTAAGCCTCATATATCTGAGTATCTTTACCTTTTGCTAAATTAGGGAAATTCTCTTGGATTATTTCTGTGAATAGCTTTTGTAGTCCATTTGTTTGTGTCCCTACTTCTTCTTTTATGTTCTTAATTCTTAAGTTATAGATCCTCTTATCATCTTCAAGCCTTTGTATTATTGCTGTTTGTTTTCTTGTTATTTTTAAGAAGTTTTTCATTTCATGCTCCCACATTACAAATCTACCCTCCAGTTCAGATAACCTATCCTTAGTTTCTTTCAAGCTTTTATGCCAGCTTTCAATAGAGTTTTTAGTTTCCTGGTAATCTCTTTGAACCTGCTTCATGTATTCTATGTTTTCTCCATCAAACAATTCTCCCCTTTTTTTCTGTTCTTCCATTCCACTGTCTGTTTTTTCTTGGGCAGTGCTTAGCATTTCTCTAACTATTCTACTTATATCTTGCTTTATTTCATTAAATACTTCTCTTTTGAACTTGTCTATGAGGCTCCGGAGATATCACTTTATGTCTGTTGGTGCCGTGTCTGTATTGCATGTTTTTTTTCCTAATTCTCCTTTGCATTCACCTTTCCTGGATCAGTGTTCTCAGGATTGAGGACTGAGGACCCTTTCTTGTTGCTTCGTCTTCCCATACTTTTTGTTCCTTCCACACAAGTGAATATAGGAGGCCCAATTTTTTTCTCTTTGTTAGTTACAGTTTGTTTGAATTGTGCCAGCTAGGTGTTCCCGCCCATTGCAGTGTACTAGGGAGACACAGACCTGGGTAGCCTCTGCTGGGCCCGCCCCTCCAGGTTAACCTACTGAAGCTTCACTGCTAGGTTGCACCTCCAGACTCTGGGACCTGGTTTGGGCTAGCCTACCTGGTCTCAGTCAGCGGTGTCACGGAGGCCAGGCACTCCCCATCAATCCTGCTTGAGAGGGGAATATGCGACTAAAATTAGTTCAGTGTCTTGTTCAGTATGTCCTTTGCTGAAGCCTCCTACTCTATGAAAGGGTCCCCGTTCCGCTTACTCACCGCAAGTCGATGTAGGGCTCCCTGCCAGTCCTGTTCTCAACTCTGTTTGCCGATTCCCACTCTCAGAGTTTTTGTGCATCCGTCTCTCTGCCATGCTGATTTGGATGCAGCAGCGGCAGCAAGAAATTCAAATCGCGGCTTCCAATGGCACGGGATCCAGCTTCTGTGCTGAGATTTTATCTGTTCCTGTTATAGCACCGGGATTGCGTTTCCAGTTGGTTTCTCTTAGCTTAGTTCATTCCTGGGTCGGCAGGGTATATCTCCCCTTGCTTAGGACTCCTCACACTACCCCATTCCTAGATTTTATGCGTGGTATCTCAGAGAGCTTCTGTAGCTGCTCCTATCTATCTGCCATGTTCTCCCGGAAGTTTAGACTGTGTCTTAAAAACCAAAAAACATGTCCTAGCATTTTAATGTTGATATTAAACTTTCATCAACTATGTACATAAGTTGCTTTACTAATGATATGTCATACACTAAAAAGAAGTTTTACATAAGTAGGGAGTTGCAGCTTTTTAAAAAAATCTTGGTTAATGTGTCAACAGCTTTCACAAATACTTGTCATTCTGTAACACTTGTCAAATTTGTAAATGATGGTGAAATTGAAACAGTATCTTCTGGGGGAAAACAAAACAAAACCCTCAAAACCTCTGCAGAGTGGGGACAGCCACCTCTAAGCCTCTCTTTTGGCCTGCACAGGGGAGAGAACCAGGCCTCACAAGGAGGTGATCTCTACCTGGAAACCAGCACCATGCACAAGCCTTTGCCAGAGTGGGGACAGCCACCTCCAAGCCTTTCTTCATGAGTCAGTGCCATTCGCGGACTGCTTAGGGAGAGTTTGAAGACTGTAGGATGCTGCCCAGTTAGTTAGTTACCTAGTAATTTCTGAATTCTGTGAATAGGTTTTGGTACCTGTTTTATTATCTTTGATGAATTGGCTCTGGGGCTTTCCTCTCCCCATTTTCCCCCTTCCCTTCCTTCTCTTTCCTCCTTCCTCCCCTTTTCTCCCTGTCTTCCCTTAGTCCTCCCTTCTTTTTCCTCTCCCTCTTTATCCCTTTTCTCCTACTACTTGTACTTGGGATTGGATCAAGGGTCTATCACTAAGTTATACCTTTATTCCCTACCCCCCACCCAGAACTCTTCTGTTTTAAAAAGGGCTTGTCTTCAGTGACAGTTCTGGTAGGTCTTCTGACTTTTAAAAGCTTTTTGGGCCTTATGTCCCAACTACTGAATTCTGCTGTTTATCTTTGTTGATACAGGGCAAAAGCAGCCATACACAATACTAAATATGAATGAGTATGGTGCTCGTGGTAAGATTTTGTTTACAACCATGGGTGGTAGATCATAGTTTGTTTATCTGTTCTGTCTGAATGCTCTTCCTTATTGACCTTGTATCTTCATTGTTACATGTATGTCCCTATGTTATAAGTAGCAGCCTTATCATTTCATACCTTATGAGTAGCCTTGTCCACATTCATTGTTTTGTCTCAGATATTGGAATCAAATTTAGGATGGGTTTTGGCTTTCCCTGTTTCCAGTAATGTGCCCATGGGCTAGTTAACATCTGAATCCTGTAAATCAGGGCTAATAATAGCTCTTTGCAGTTGTTGCAAACATAATATAAAGAAGAGTTTAGCATAAAGATGGGCAAATAATAGATGGTAGTTCCTGTTGTTTTTATTGTCTTCACATATATTGACTCATTTCTGGATCTTGATCACAAAAAAATTTCTTCCAAGGTACAGTTTTTTAGTGCATATCCTTGTTGGTCATTTTATGTCACCATTTTATTGTATGAGTAAGCATTTAACTGCCAGTAAGAGTCTTCTGACAGGAAGTTTAGAAGAAGGGGATTCTAGAGCTGTTGTATCAGGGCATTTTCATGAACCTTTTGGTTACAAAATATTACTGTAGTTTTGAGTTTCCTGTCCTCATGCATCTGTAGCCAAAGAAATGAAAAAATGGGAAGGAGAAGGGGTTTCCTTGTAAAATTTTCTTTTTATAGTAAAAATTATCCTTTAAAATGTTAATTAGGAAGTAAAATCTATAGGAATTAAATACATTAAGGAAGGAGAAACTTGAGAGAGTATAGGATGATCACCAAATTTTTGTCTTACACGTGTAGACTTTAGAATACTTGATGGTTCATTAATAGGAGAATATTTGTAAAAAAAGATAAATTTCATTTTAGACTGATGAATTTGAGGCACGTGAAGTAGGTGGACAGCCTACCCAGTACCATTCCTCTTTCTATCATGATTTGAGGTACAATTTATGTGCTATAAACCTCCTTAAAATTATACAGTACAGTGTTTTTTTGGTTTTGTTAGCGTACTTACAGTGTTAGGCGGTCATCACTGTGTCTAACTTTAGCATGTTTTTGTCATCCTCAAAAGAAACCCTGTACCCATCAGTAGTCATTTCCTCTTTCTCCAGGCATGGACAAACACTAATCTATGTTCTGTCTCTCTGGATTTAAATAATCTAAATAATTCTTAAGTTCATTATGTCTTCCTTATCTTTCTTTTTGAGTTTTTTTCTTTTTTAAAAAAATTTTATTTAAGGAGAAAAAGAAAAACAGAAAAAGGGTGCAAGTTATATAGAATTTCAGAAAAAATAAACAGTAGTCCACATACTAGTTTTTCTCTGATTGCATAAAGATTACAGTAGCATTTTAGTTTAAGAATGTAGAGAACAGACAGACTGTTTAGGAAAGAGAATTTAAGAGGTCACGGAATGATTTTCATATAAAATATTGGGTTGTGGAAGATGGTGACCAACTTTTATTCCTTTAGTATTTCCTTCCACATTTGCTTACATATTATCTTAGTATTAAAATCCCCGATTTGCAAAACAAAAGAACATTCTTTGAAATGTGTCTTGTACTGTTAGTTTCAGATACTGAGTACTTTTTCATGTTCTTCCTCTTTTCTTGTTTGATAGTATAATCAACTAAATTGTTATGATTACACTCATATAAATACAAAAATAAGTTAGCTACCTTAGTAGTAGTTTAAAAATAAAACATCATGTATTTGTTTTGTTAATGGTAGTAGATGATCACATTAATTTTGTTTTATATCGTGAAATTCTTGATTTTTTTATTTGGAAACTTTTGGAATATATAAATTCAAACCAGATGTTATTGATGAATTTATAATTTTCTAAAAATCTTCCTTCTGTAGAAATCTGGTTAAGAAGTACTGTCCTAAACGTTCATCCAAAGATGAAGAGCCAAGGTAAATTTTATATCTCTTTATTATTATATAATAAAAATTAAAAAATTTTGTTAATATTTAGTAAAACTGTTGAATTCCTGTAAACACATTTTGAAAGTGTTTTTTTTTAAAAAAATCAATGTTTATGAAAGAGAAAAGTACTATTTATCGTATAAGAATAAATCTTAATCAACAGTTTTAAGTGGAGATTTCCAAATAAGATATAGACTAAGGCTCCACTTGAATAATGTAGTCACCAGAAGAAAAGATTTTCCTCATATTTTATTTTGTTGTCAGCTTTTAGGGTGTTGCTTTTATTCTAGGTGATAAAACAATTTGGTTGATTGATTTACAGGGATTATGAAAATAGATTTTCAGGGTAAGTTTTGAATGCTGAATAAAAGATGAGGAATTGCTTATGAGCTTTTTTAGCAGTTTTAAACAGGTATATGTAGATAACTGTAAGATGCAGAAGAGGTCTTAGACTTAAGAAACAACTTTGTATGTAGCTGTCATTGGTTAGGATTCTTAGATTTGCTGTTAATAGGGTCCTGTCAGAGCTGTCAGCCTTCAGTTGTGAGTGTTCCTTCCTGTATTCAAAGTAGATTTATACATTTTAACACAATGATTCTCTTTGTTTCTCTTTTTTCCCCTCCACACACATTTTTACCCTTATTTTTGACCCTTTTATCCCTCTTTGGTGCCAACCATAATGGCTCTTCACTCCCCTTCAGGATGTGGGCAGGCATACAGGCAGCTGCATCCAGAGCTGATAGCAAAGTTGTTCTGTAGATCAGCCATCGAGATGCATTTGAGTGGTATGATTGGCAGGTTCTGTCCTCGAGAGCAAGCACATCATCTCTGCAACAGGTTGAACTGCCAAGCCTAGGAATCCAACCAAGTTCATTCCCAAGCTCAGGCCAGTCAGTTGGCAACCTAAGAGATTCCACTATACCAAAAGAGCCTGCAGGTAGTATTCTTACTATTTTTTGATCCCAAATAGCCCTTTATTTATAAATTAAAGGCTACTGAAAGATATATAAAAATGTACAACTTAAGTTTAATATAGGATACTTTTCATATAAAATTAATTTAGAATTAGCAGTTTGGATTTAGGTTGAGTATGTTACAATTTGTCAAGTGTTACGCTTAATCATTACCAAGATATTTATAATGGAAAGAAAAATAAATTTCACCTTTTTCAATGTTTTGCCAGGTTTACCTCGTGTATAGCCTTTTTTAACATCCTTAATGAGTTAAATGACTATGCAGGACAGCGAGAGGTAGTAGCAGAAGAAATGGCACACAGAGTATATGGTGAATTAATGAGATACGCTCATGATCTGAAAACTGAAAGAAAAATGGTAATTCTTTTTTATTCAATTATAATAGTTTTATGAACTACCTTCACAAACAGTTATGTTGCTTTTGAAATGTATGTTCAGTATAAATGGATTTAAATTCCTTCAAGCTAGAAAATTATTTGTAAGACATTCTTTCTACTTCATCAGCCTTTTTTTTCTTCCTCTGTCTCTCTCTCTCTCTGAGCCGTTTGGGATTTAAGATGACTTGGCAAAGTATAGAACATGATTCAAATCCAGTCTATTGCCTATTTTTGTTCCTAGTTCCCATAATCTAAGAAAGATTTTTTTTTTTTTTTTACAATTTTAGATGGTTGAAAAAAAGTCAAGAGACTATTTTATGGCATGTGAAAATTATATAAAATTTAAATCTCCACAATGTTTTTTTGGATCACTCATATTTATTAGCTTACATATTGCCCGTGGATGCTTTTGATTTACATCAGTAAAGTTGAATGTGGCCTGGAATCTTAAAATATTTATTTTTATGAACCTTTATGGAAAATCTTTGTCAGGCGAGGTATAGTGGTTCGTGCCTGTAATCTTACCCCTCTGAAGGGTGAGGAAGGAGGATTGCAAATTCTAGCCGAACCTGAGCAATTTAGCTTCTGTGAGGACTTTGTCTCAAAATAAAAATTAAAGAAGAATTTGAGATAATACAAAAGCCCTTGGTTCATCTCTTTTGCAAGACAAAACAATCTGTGTGCTATGACAAAAGTCTGGGATTTAGCTCATTTTGAAGGCCCTGAGTTCAGTCTCCAAAACAATAACAACAACAACAAAATCACCAAAATGAAATTCTTTGTTGGCCTTGCTGAAAATGCTTTTTATTTCTCTAGGTTTTTCATCAATTTGAAAGGCTATAAAGTACTGAAAGAATATCCTGTAAAACACATTTTGCTTGAGTTTTGTTTTACTGTTTCTAAGTCTTGATAAAATTATATAATTAGTATTTTGAAAAAACACAGAGAAAAGACTTTTTTGGAACTTTAAAATTTGGTATTTAAAATGTGTTCATTTGTTTTGTTGGTGGTGTTTATAATCTAGCATCTTCAAGAAGGACGAAAAGCTCAGCAGTACCTTGACATGTGCTGGAAACAGATGGATAATGTAAGTTACATTGTTTTTCATGGTTAACATAAGATTTTGGTTACCCCTCAGTCACTCCTAAATTCTGTTAAGCTTTACATCTGAGTTTAATATTTTCAGTGTATTATTCATAATTTGACTTTTTTTTTTTTTTTTAACATTTAACCAATACAGTGTTAATGGAGGATGTAGGTCATTTTTCTTTTTTTTTTTTTCTATATGACTATAGTGCTTATATGAGCACTCTGTTATTATTCTAAACATTTAGGGAGATTCTTTTGGACTTTTGAATGCAGTTACTATAAACTATTAATAAAGGACAGAAGTAGTAGACTAACAGTGTTACATTGTAGAAGATCATTTGAGTGTGGAAAAAACCAAGATATTAGTTCTACTTTTTCTTAGCACTTGATTTCTCTTGACTTCATTTTTAACCAACTTCATTTTGAACTAGGTTATATGAGGTATTTCTTGAAGTTCAGTTATTACATAGTTCTAAAAAATGCTGCTAATATTGTAGGAGAACAAAAAGCAATAACAAACTTTTTTAAGGCAAAACTACAAAAGCATAATAATTTATTTAAAATTTTTCCTAAGGTGCTTGCTAATGTGATTTTTTTTTTCTTCAAAGTTCTGGTATATAGTAATTTGAAAAACAAGATTTCCACATGAAACACTGTATACTCTTTACTTAAGAGGCATTAAATGATGTATATTGCATAAAACATTCTTTTTTTAGTTATATGTAGTCATTCATACCTGTAATCTCAACACTGGGAAGAAAAGATACTCTTTTTAAACCTTCAATTTTGCAAGCAGTTTCTTTTTTACTGATGTGTTTTTATATATGTACAATATATTCCTTGAGAATTTGCCAAAGCAAGTTTTTCATGTTAGTTTAATGTATGACTGTTAGAAAAATGACTGTAAGATGGAGATCTTAAAAATTCATGCATATATTTGGCAGAGTTTTCAGTCTTATCAAAAAATGCATATTCAAGACCTGGGTGTGGTAGTACATACCTATAATTCCAGCACTTGGGAGGCTGAGGCAGGAGAATCCTTCAAATTCAAGGCCAGTCTTTGACCCTGTCTCAGAAAACAAACTCAAACCCCCCCAAAAACATTTTCAAAGCTTTGATTAAATTTCTGTTATCTATATAACTGATATTGGTAAAAGGTTCTATTCACCAATGCTGATTAAGAATTGAATTTGGGGGCTGGAGGTTTAGCTCAGCAGCATAAGCGCCTGACTTGCAAGCAGGCAGTCGTGAGCTCGATCCCCTGTACCGATAAAAAGGAAAAAGACAAAAAAAAAAAAAAAAAAAAGAATTGAATATATTGTGGGCTGGGGATTTAGCTCAGCGGGCAGCATAAGCCTCTGCCTGGCAAGTACAAGGTCATGAGTTCAATCCTCAGTATCACAAAAAAAAAAAAAAAAAAAAAAAAAAGAATTGAATGTTTTAATAGTCTATTTCATTTTTGTTTGATTTTCTACTTGGTTTTAGCAAGAGTTAGGGAATATTTTTACTGATTAAATTGTAATTGCATTCACTAGCATCCTTAGTATCTGCCACATAGTGCATTTGTATGCTTATGTGATGGCATTTGCACAAAATAATAGACTTCTACACTCAAGAGATATTCACTGACTCCTTTAGCAATTGGTGTTGACACAAATCATTGTTGATAATATGTGCCGACTTGTCTTTAAAACAATAGTAGTTATTAAGAAAAAGTTACAGAGGTCATAAATAAGAGAGAAACTTCAAAAACATAGAGACATTTTCTTCCAGCCATTAGTGATATTGTGAAAAAATTTATTAAAAGTATCCTTTATATGCACTGGGCTCTGAATGTATAAAAGTAAATATGATTGGTTCTAATTTTCAAGGAGCCTGCAGTCTAGTGAAGGAGATAGCAAATATAATTTCTATTTAATGTATATAATAGACATAGGATCCTGTTCTTTAGTTCTGTCTTCCTGTTTAACCAAGAAAATAAAATTGTCAAATTTCTAACAGGTTTGAACTAATTTAGAGGTAATATAAAGAACTGGGAAAACAGGTTGAATCAATGGTAGAGTATTGAAAATTTATGGGGAAAAATAAAAGTTAATCCCAGAATAAACAAAATTGGCAAAAATGACATTTAAGGTGAGAACCGAAGAAAAGCCGTCTGTAAAGATTTTGAAGGAATGGTTGTAGATTAAGAAGCATCAGTGATGCCAGGTCCGTCAGTTAGGTATTTCCAGGTTAGAGATCATACACATTTCCACTAACAGAGCTCAGAAATGGATCAGTTTAGAAATTAAGCTGGTAATTCAACAGTGTCACCAAGGTTGAATGACCTCCTTTGTCTGTCTGTCTGTCCGCTTTGCCATCTTGGTCACTTAGGCTTGTTTCTTCAGTCTTGTGCCCTTAGAATCAATAGTTGTCTTAAGCAGAAGATACCATATCCTCAGTTAAGCTACACCAGGAGCCAAGCAAAAGGGATCATTTATTTTCTAACTGTCCCCTTTCATCAGAGAAATAAAACTTCCTTAGAAACCCCCCAGCAGATTTCCTCATGAGTACCATTAATGGGATTAGACCAAGCTGTGGGAAGACTAGGGTAACAAGTGACAGCTATTTTCAGCCTCTGTTAGCAGGCAAATGGCTTCTGCCACAAAAAACTTGAAGAGTCTCTTTGAGAGGGATGCCCTATATTGTATAATGCCCTATATTGTATAATTTTAGGGAAGCAGTATTTTTAATTCTGTTGATGTAGCATATAGCTACCCTCAATTTAAAAATACAGCTCTGAGTTTCAGAGATTGGATGTGGAAACGTAATCTTAATTTTCAATAGGAAAATGACATTCTATTATTGTGCTTAGCCAGACATTTTTATGTGCTTTGAAGAAACTGTAGGTATAACATTTGGGAGGGGTTCTCATACTAGTCAAAATACTAAGTAAGGTCTACATTTAAACAATTTTATAAAAAAATTTCAGAGTGCATTCATTATAGAGTATATCTAGGTTTTGTTTGTTTTGTTTTATTTCCTTATCTTTTTAAGACAGGGTTTTACTGTGCAGTTCAGGCTGGCCTTAAACTCACTTTGTAGCCCAGGCTGATCCCAAACTTGCAGCAGTCTTCCTGCCTCAGCCTCCGTAGTGTTAGTAATATAGTTGCCACCATACCTGGCTATCTAGATCTGACTATATGTTAAGCTGAAATCTTTTGACTACAAATCCCTAGATAGAATGATTTTTTTTTTTTTAAATTATGTTTTAAACTCTTTGGTATTTGGAAGAAAGAGAAATCTCTGTTAGGAACCTAAGGATAAAAAAAGAATTAAGTTATATAATGTACAGGTACAAATTCCCTATGATGAATGTGATTGTTTGTATACCTAAAATGTTCCAGTAAACTTAATAATAAAAAAACAGAGCAATAGATTCATGAATTGATATAGTAGCATTTGAAAAAACGAGGAAAGGGGTTTTGGAATATGGTGGCTTACCTGGCATGGTATTTGCTAAAGACTTGTATTCTAGTATATGGGGTCAAAAGTTATGTTTTAGCTGTATTTATTGTTAGGACTTGGAACTGAGACCATTGTATAAAATTTGAACCTCTGAAAGACTAAATTTTTAGCAAAAATAAATAGGAACCCTACCTACTGAGCAAGAGACATATCAAAGAAATTATCTCATTCTGCAGATCAAGGGGGAGGTATGCTGTGAGAAACTTAAAATTCTTGGCCTTGTAGTCATGAGGTTTGGGTTCCAGATTTGCACTATTTGTAATCATAAGTTATAAGAAATTATAACTGATTCTAAAATGGTAAATACAAAATGTTAAGATCTTTTGCTTTATTCTTTTGAGCACTTAGAATACAGATAGCAAGACATTTATTTTCTAGATAGAAATTTAGAAAAGGTTTCTCTGGGGAATCTAAGCAGCTAGAAAAGGGAGAAGAAAAGTATAGTGTTATCAGGGTTTTCCCAAGGAAATTCCCCAAGAGTTTTACCTAGGAATGACCATACAAGCCTACTTACAGAGCTTTCAGTCAGCTTTCTAAAGACAAGCATACACAACTGGGCATAATGGTACATACCTATAATTCCAGAGTTCTGGGAGGTTGGGGCAGAAGGATTGCAAGTTTGAACCTAGTTTGGGTAATTCAGCAACGTTAGCAAGATACTGTTCTGAAATTTAAAAAAGAGACTAGGGAAGTAGATCAGTGCAAAGTCCCCAGCATAAGGCTACGCCCCTGAGTTTAATCCCCAGTAAACACACACACACACACACACACACACACTGTCACACACTCTCTCTCCCTCTCTCTCTCTCATTCACTTTCAAGGATCCTTAGACATTTGAATAAAGTGTTTAAATGTATATCAGAGACAAAAACTAAGGTAACTGATATTCAGCAAAAAAAAAAAAAAAAAAAAAAAAGCAATTTAGCAGAAACCTTGACCATGAAAGGAAATAAGGATTAAAATGCAGCAATTTAGTAATTTAGTGAGACTGTGTCTTTAAAAGGAGGTTCAGGGACTGGAAATGTTACACAGTGTGAAGATTTTTGGTTCAATCTCTAGGACTGTAAAGAGAAATATACGAAAGATTAAAAAAAACAACATCCACAATTGTTATTGATATTCTTAAGGGAAATAGAGGAAATAATACATCCATGAAATAAAGGTAAGGTACTAAGGAACATAAAGAATGAAAAAATAAATTTATGGTAGCAAAATGAAGACACCTCTAGAAAAAGTGAAAGATAAAATTGAAGAAATCTCTAAAATGACAGATTGAAAATGTGAAAATTAATAAAATGAGAGGGCTCACCTAGTCGGTTTATTTTCAAAATAGTAAAACATCCTTAAAAAGAAAATGGACAAAAAAAAGTCCTCCAAATTGAAAGACATAAGTTTCTAAATGGAAAACATTTCATAGGTGCACAGCACACTGGTTCAATGTCAAAACCCGTTATGAGATTTCACATAGAGTAATCGCACCAGCCACCAGAGAACAAAAGAAAATAAACATGCTTTATACAGTGGATCAAAAATGAAAATGGGATTGGATAGTCATAGGAATCCAGAAAATACTATTTTAAATTTTGATTTCCAAAGTTCAATTACAACTGATGGTAAAGGGACTTTTAGTCATGGAAACTCAAAAAAATACCTTTCACAAGCTGTCTCCTGGGAAGCTACTGCTAAATGTGTTCTGGCTAAATGAGGAATTGAAGCTGGAAAGGGGAAAGAATGGAACTAGGAAATAGGAAACCCTTATAAGAGAATCGAGCAATCTTCAGGATAATGAAAACTGGAAATTCCAGAGAGACAGCCATGCTGCAGCAGAGCTGAGGAAGGGGGATGGTGGAAGATGGTCCACCCTGGGCAGTACAGTTTTGGGGCTGCATTTTTTTTTTTTTGGAAGAGAATAAATGAAATAAAACAGAATAGAGTCAATCAAAACAAAGGGGTGAATGTGGTTCATAACTTAAAAACAGAATACAAAGAGATCAATAATGGCTACCATAGTGTTTCTTGTTATCTTCAGAAGAATTGCCCATACCAGCAGGGACAATAAAATCAAACAAAATAGTATAGAATAAAACCAATAAAAACAAAACAATGGGTAATAGTAAAACCACAGTTACTACACTGTTACTAAAGTAGTTGCTTATACCAGCAGACATGATATAATCAAACAAAACAAAACAATAGAATCAGTTGGGCTTCAAATCAAGCTAATCAAAAATGGCTACTATAATATATTTTGTTATCTTTGAAATAGCTGTCCATGCCATCAAATATTATAAGATTAGACAAACTGGAACTATAAAATGAAACTAGACAGAACAATGAAAACAATATGGGTTTCAAATTACAATAATAGATTAACAATGATCACTGCCTTCCCTTTTTAGACATTTCCTCCTCTTTGGGGCTGCATTATTGGGCAAAAAGAAAATTATATTGTAACAATTTACTTCATTTTAACATGGAAAAGATTCAAGTACATTGAAATAGGAATGTTTTTCTCATTTTAATTTTCACTTTAAATAAGTTAACATTCAGGTATGTTGGAGGGCGGCACAAAGTCTAACTAGGCACTGCAGCTGTGCTCTATGCCTACTGGGTTATAGGTTCAAATTTAAGGAAGTTAGAAGCCTTTGGGAGATTGAATCATGAAACTAAAAATGATAGAAGTTTTCATGTGTTAGAATTAACCATGAAGAAATTTAAACAACTGGGGGAAACAGGGGTTGCATGAAAGATAATTGCATTGAAAACCAGGCTTACCTCAGAAAACATGGTCTACTTGCGAATAGCTTATACAAAGTAATTTGAATTGAATAAAAACATTTTTTAAAAATCTAGATTTGAAGGGGCTGGGGATTTAGCTCAGTGGCATAAACACCTGCCTTACAAGCAGGCAGGTGGTCATGAGTTTGATCCCCAGTACCGATAAAAAGATTAAAAAAAAAAAATCTAGGTTTGGAACAGTGGTATTTCAGGGACATCCAACAGAAGCAGCATGAAACCATTTTGGGAGGCACACTTTCACCTCTCAAGTTAGACTAGAGTCTTACTAAAAAGTATAAAAGCCAACCTACGAAACATCCAGTAAAAACCTACCAATGAAACAAACACCAGACCGAAAAAGACCTGCTGAAGATGAGCATATAAAAACTTACAAATAACATACATTTTTAAATTGATTGAGGTATGTAATAAGTATTAATCATGCTCTTTTCTTCACATCTGTAATTATTGTAGTATTTAAGGCACAAATAGATACCTATAATAACAAAATTTAGTTTGTGATTTTGAAAGAACAAATTTTATTTTTAGTGTACAGTTCACTTGTATACAATATAAAGTGGCAGCATTTTAAAGTTACTGCTTAAATGGGTTGTCTAATTTTATTTTCTTGGTGTTGACATTTTAACTTTTTTTAAACAGAGTAAAAAGAAGTTTGAAAGGGAATGTAGAGAGGCAGAAAAGGCACAACAGAGTTACGAAAGATTGGATAATGATACTAATGCAACCAAGGCAGATGTTGAAAAGGTAAGAAAGAAGTCATACCATTTGTATCAGTGTTAGAAGTTCCTTGAGATACACTGCTTCTAAATCTAAAATATACAAATATTTCCTTACTGCTCTGTGAAATAATGTTACTTTGTGTATTATAATATTTTAGCTGCATTTAAAATGCACAGGTAAGAAACAGTTGCTACTAAAACTGAATTTCTGTTCTATTCCAAAATAGGCTAGAAAGCCTAAGATTTGGCCATCAGGTATGCCAATATAGTGTGCTTTGCCAACTTTACTGAAGAGAATACATAATAAAACTGTCAAAAATGTCTGATATTAGCTGGCTGTTTACTTTGGAAAAACTGAATCTTTTGTCACTGATTGTGGGCCAGATGTTTATAGGATAGCTTCTTGACAAGATTAGCTCTGTAACTGCTGCTACTGCTAAACTTCCCCAGTCCCATTGCTATGCTCTTTATCTCAGGACATTTGACACACTGATAAGACTGAAATGTTGGGGTTTTGAAATATAAGTGAACTTTACTACGTTGTATATACACTAAAGAACTACCATTAATTATGTTATCTCCTTTGGATTCTATGATTCCCTAAAGAATTGATTGAGAAAAAATGAAGAGAAGAATAGTTTATTTCTTGACTTCCATTTTCTTTGCCAATTAAAAACATGGAAACCTTAAATTCATATAAATTCCAGGTTACAATTACAAGTCTTTTAGCATAACTCATGATGCATCTGTATTTTCAGTGATTTAAACCTTGACTAATGGTAAGTTCTCTATAATTAGAAATGTATGGTCTTGGGACAATCTGCCTTTTTTTTTTTTTTTTAAGCATTAACATTTTCTTAAATTGGCTTCACTCATGTCTCTTATTTGGTTTTTGAGATACCATAGAAAAAACATCAAATCTAATTGTTTTTTCTAATAGCTTTAGATACTTGCAGTAAATTCTCTGCTCCTAGAAAAACCATTATATTTCAATTATTCCACATATGAAATAGCTTTGTTATCAGCGTTTATAGCTTCTTTTTTTTATGCTCATGTGTTTGCAGTTCTTTTTTAAGTATTAGAGAATTAGGGGAGGCTTCAGTTGTTTTAGTTCCTGGCCTTTTCTTCCTGTATACTGATGGAGCTTCTGCCTCAAACTGTGGGATCACAGTCAGTTACTTGGAGCTGGAAAAGTTCCCCTTGACAGAATCATGAGGTCTTGTGGTAGAGAATTTGTATTTCTCTATTCCACCATGGTTTGTGGTAGAAAGAGAAAAAGAGAAGGGTAAATGATTGTGTTCTTTGGGTTCCAAGTTGGAACTTCTTGTGTAGTTTTCTACGAAGATACTCTGGGCCTTAATGTTTAGTCTTCAGAATACTTATTTAAGAAATCTTTTAAATGTACTTTGGATTGAGTGGGGTTTTATGGGCATTTCTGAGATTTTTGACTATCACATTTTTCCTTAGGTTCTTTCTGAGTTAAAAAGATCTAATTTATAGACTACTGTCAGAAGGTCAGGGAACTACATATATAGAAACTGGAATTATAATAGTGAGATATATTCAGTGTGCTTTGCAGTTTACAAAGCCCTACTGTGTAAAATCATTTATTCTTTGGAACTACAAAAAAAAATTGAGCACAATTCCTATTTTTTTCTTATTTTAGAATAGTTGATTCGTTTAGACTATACTCCAGTATATCTAGAGTTAACAATTTGTGCTTATACTCTAATATTCTTACAAACATAGATACTACTACTTCAGATACTACATGGATGACATTCCTATGGATAATATGACTTTCTACTAGAAATCGAGAACAGAATTACTATTCTAAATAAGTATTATTTCAATATCTGGGGTTTTGTAGAGATGTAATTTACATTATTCAAAAGTCGCATTTTTGTCATTCGTTGATTTAGTGTCATATTCTAATTATATAGAAATATTTTACTAACAGTTTCAACTATTCTTGAAGCTGTTTTTCTTTTGTTCTGAATAAAAGCATTCTGTTTAAGCTGTAATGTCATTTATTTACTTATTTTCTGTGGATTTTATAAAAAGAGTCTATTTAAATGGATTATCACCAGCAAGAAGGGCAGTTATAATAGGAGGGAGAATTTTGCAACATGAAGACCATTCTGACTATTGTGTTTGCATGCATCTCCTTAAAACTTAAATAATAATCAGTAGTATGAGAGAGATCACTTTGTTAGTCTTGGAATGTTGAGTGTTGGCTTCTGCATCTATATGATCTAGTTTTGGGATAATTTTCAGAAAGTGAATTTCTGTGGCTTTGCTGTTTTTGGTGATGATTTGACTAACTTCCTTCTAGGCCAAACAGCAGTTGAACCTGCGTACACATATGGCTGATGAGAATAAAAATGAATATGCTGCACAGTTACAGAACTTTAATGGAGAACAACACAAACATTTCTACATAGTGATTCCTCAGATTTACAAGGTAAATTGGTAAATTTTAGGTATCTGAAGTTAATCTAGTTTTAGAGTTGGAAAAGCTACTCTTTTTTTTTTTTTTTTAAGGAAAAAAGCAAAACGGAAAAAAGTAGAAATAATACAGAATTTTTAAAAAACCAGTAAGAAATCACTAGTTGATAAATTACATATTGTCATCTTAAAAGTAGTTGCTCATCACAAAATCAAAGCATAAAAAATAGACAAACAATGACAGTACAAATCATTCTGTTTGTTGAACTAACAAAAACTTAGTAGTATGGTTATCTGTTTTGCACACTTAACATACATACAGTTATATCCTTTAGAGCACTTTTGGAAAAGCTAGTCTTTAAATGTAAAACATAAATTTAGTATTTTTATTTTTTGCTGTTTGGGGGCTAGACCACTGAGCTGCTTCCCCCTATCCCCATGCTTAAATTTTTTCAAATTTACTAGTCACTAAAGTTAGTGATCAGAGATTTCTGTATGGTTACACATTTGAAAAGTAAGATTTTCCTGTTAAATCACAAATACTTCTGTGTGTTTTTAAATTAGTGTTATTAAGAAATAGCCACTAAAACAGTGACATTTTTGAAGTAAGTTTTAAATCTGTACCATCAAGTATTTTGACCTTCTAGGAAGAATTCATTGAAATTGTATATTGTAATCTGTTCAACTAGAATTGGGATGTACTATACCAGAATCATCAGCACTGGCAGAATCAGGTGGCAGAAATAAATCTTCCAAAATTATTCACTAGCTTCATTTTTGCTTGTTTGTCTTGCTGGCAAGACAAATAACAGTTTGATATAGTTATAATATATTATAATTATAATTCAGGCCTTATCAGTCCTGTCTGGCATAAGTTAATGATAGCAGTTGCCAAATAGTTAAAAAACCCTAGAATTTTGAGGATTAAATTTTATTACTACCTTTTTTATAAAGAACAGAAATCAGAAGACGAGGGTATAGGAAGCAGTATTGAATGAAAAGGTAGCTAAGGGAGAATGGAGATTAGGTAGAAAGAATGTCAACTCAAGTATACTGCATTTGTTTTCTGAAGCAAGGTGCAAGTACTGAGGAAGCGTACTATAAAGATGGGAGACTAGAGCTGGGTATTAGATTCTGGTTATGTAGTCCAAAATGTCAAGCCTACCAGTCCTTACTCTGTGATGCTTTTGTAGGCTGACTAGTTAAGTCTTCATATTCTGGGGGAGAAATTAACTTGGAGATAAACTCCCTCTGTGATTTGGACCCTGATCTTTTCATTTTGAGCTTGATGTGGGGTAGCTTTGCCATTTTGTGATGTGCAGAGCTGTAGGTGGTAGAGTGTGTGGGTACGTGTTTGTGTGTGTGGGTACCTTTTTGTATGTAATCAACTGTGGACATTTGATTCAGCCAGTTATTACCAAAATATTCTAACTAATATAAAGGATTAGAAGTCTCAGACTTGTATACATCATAGACTAATTGCTTAAAAAATTGATGCCAGAATTTTGTCTTCAAATCACACTTTTTCTGGAAACATAAATAATAAGAACTACTCCAGAGACAAAAAGTTGGGAAAGGAAAGACACAGGGAATTGGTAGCCTGGAAGCAGTTCTGATAGAAGACTTGAAAGCCATTGTTACTTGATTTTTTAGATGTATAAAAGCCTTATTTTCTTCTTTTTCTTTCATGATTTAGCAGGATTCAGATTTTAAGTGTCATGTCCATAAAAACTTGTTAAAAGATACTAAAACAACTGTATGATTATTAGAGTAGAAATCTTTATTTTGGGAGGAGATCATTAATGCTCTTTCAGAATAAGAAAATTGTTTTTATTTTTAAAATTTTCTGATTATTAGCAACTACAAGAAATGGACGAACGAAGGACTGTTAAACTGAGTGAGTGTTACAGAGGATTTGCAGACTCAGAGCGCAAGGTTATTCCCATCATTTCAAAATGTTTGGAAGGAATGATTCTTGCAGCAAAATCAGTCGATGAAAGACGAGTAAGTGCTATATAAGTGACTTTAAATAAATGCATTTGGTTTTGATGTGCATTTATAATGAAATTGACTTGGAAAAGAAGTAATCTATTGGGTGCTTGATTCTGTTATACTCTGTAGAAGAGAATTTTATAGGACTTCAGGATCATTGTAACTTAAGGATCATTGTGCTAAAATTCTGAGCCCCTCTCCCAAAATTTACAAAAAGTCATCTTGTTTCCCTACTAATTTTTCATTTCTAATCTAAGAGTATAACATGTGAATTGTGTGTTACAAATTGTATTATGCTCTTCGTTCAATTCAATGAAAGTTTAGAGAAGGATATGGTCAAATGGATCCACAGTTGTCAGAGTTGATTTTAACAAAGGAGTTAGTTGGTACTTGGGCTGGACCAAGAAATGTGAGTAGCATATGGAATAATGACTCATGAAGGGGAGCAAAGAGGACATTCTGAGTAGGGGAAACAGTGTAGTCCTGCCCTCCTTGAGGAAGTAAATCCAATCATATTTTGTCTTGACTAAAGTATAGTAGAATCTATGGTTGTTTCTCAATAAATATTGAGCAACTGAAAAGCATGGTTGACAGAAACAGAAGACATGGGAAGAGCAAGACAAAAGTAGTAGTTTTGGCTAGGTGTGATGCACATCTGTAATTCCAGCATTCTGAGAGGCCGAGGCAGGAAAATCCGACGTTTGGGCCCAGCTTGGACAACTGAACAACTTAATGAGACTCTGTCAGAATTTAATTTAATTTTTTAAAGAGAATAAAACTAAACAAAATAAAATAGAATAAAGCCAATCAAAACTATATAGTGAAAGTGATACAGGACTTCAAAACAGTATAACAGAAAATCAACAATGGCTACTATAATGCCTCTTGTTATCTTCAAAATTGCTACCCATACCATCAGACATAACAATCAAACAAGAATAAAACCAATCAAAGTGGAAAATTAAATAAAACAACAATAAAATAGAAGAAAATGAAACAATCAGAACAATACTGGATTTCAAAAACAAGACGGAGGGAAATTCCCCCATAGTTGCTATGTTGGTTATGGTTATCTTCTTAATAGATGCTAAGACTAGTGGCCTTGGACCTGCAAAGTCAATCAAATAATACAAACATTAAGTTGTTTCTGTTTCTCAGTTGCTATCAACTCAGCCTGTCCTCTGAATCACCCAGTTACTTCCCAGGCCCAGAATGACTTATGCCAGTTGCTTAAGGGATGAGGGGCCGGTGCTCTTGTCTCCCAGCCCCCATGCCAGTTAGCTTATGGGAGGGCGAAGTGGCTTCTTGTATTCTTCCCAGGCCCAGCATGGCTTATGTTGGCCCTGAATTTAAAGAAAAAAGCGGGGGGTGGGGGTGGGGGTGTCAATGTAAAGGCCCTGGTTTTCAATCCCCAGTACCACAGACACACAAATGAGGATATCGCTTTCCTAATAGATGATTTGTCAAGAACTGCTAGGCAAGCTGGGCATAGTAATGTACGCCTATAATTTTGTCATGCTGGAAGGCAGGAGGAATGCAAGTTTGTGGACCCTGTCTTTTAAAAAAAAAAATAGAAGAAGAAATGGCTGAGGATGTAAATCAGGGTAAATGTTCTGGGTTATATCCTCATCCCCTCCCTGAAAAAATCAAAACAAAAACCTAACCATGTTTTCTGAGGAAGTGGATATCAGATGTGTATCATATATTTTAATTTTCACAGCAAGCCTATCTGATAGATACTAATGAGAATCCTTCCTGTAAGAATTAATAGAATTCTTAAATTTAAAAAAGGCAAGAGGTGTTTGGGCTTCTTTCAGTGAGCATTCTAAAGTGCTTATATATTTCCCTATGACTTTATCCCAGGTTATACAACAGAATCGTATACAGGTTATACAACAGGGTTGACTGTTCTTTCACTGTTCTTAGTTTAGTAAATGATTGCTGGAGGGTAGCTTTAATGAAGAAACTAAGGTATGATATGTGATAAGGATAACTTTTGATTAAATAATAGGCAAAAATGTCATATTAACAGAAACAAGGAGCAAAAGAGGAAAGATGATCATGGTTAGGGAAGAGTTTGTAGAGATAGTATACTGTTCGAAAATAATGAATTTTAACATGTCAGTAAAGCATTCAGGTAGAAGTATGTTTAAAACAGTATACAGTACTTCCATGAGTGTTTATATTTGAGGTGGACAGTGTTAAACTTTAAAGAACTGTTTGAGGTCTTTCCCTCTTGTGCCGCTGGCACTCTATAATACGTATTCAATAAATTTTACTTTTCTCTTCCCGTTAGATGAATGAAAGCCTTCCTACTCATCATTTATGATTAATGCTCTTGTTCCAAAGATCAACTTCTTTGTAGACATCCTGTAAAGCAAAAGACCTTTTTAGGGAACGTTCTCATAATTTCTACATAATTTTGTGTATTCTTTCACACCTTTTTAACCAACTAACTAGTTGTCAAATGAATATTGAGGGGTTAAAGCTACTGAGTAAAAAATTTCATGAGTACTGTAAATTGAGTGATAAATTTGTAAGTTATACTGTTTTTCTATTGGGATTAAATATGTAAGTTTTATTATAAATTCACAAGAGGAAATTATTCACTTTAAACTTTGATTACTTCAGAATTAAACTTTTATTTTTCTTTGTACCAAATAAAGTTTTGAAAGCTAATGTATTATGAACAAATGAAATTTAAAAAAAAAAAATTTGTTCACTGTTCATAGGACTCTCAAATGGTGGTAGATTCGTTCAAGTCTGGTTTTGAACCTCCAGGAGACTTTCCATTTGAAGATTACAGTCAGCATATTTATAGAACCATTTCTGATGGGACTATCAGTGCATCCAAACAGGAGGGTGGAAAGATGGATGCCAAAACCACAGTAGGAAAGGCCAAGGGCAAATTGTGGCTCTTTGGAAAGAAGCCAAAGGTGAGTGATAAAATTTCTCTCTACTAGTCAGGTTTTTTTGAGTAAGTCAATTAAATTGGCATATTGAACAGATAATGATTTATTGTTAATAAAGAGTAGGTGTTTTCAATTTGAAGATTCAGTTAAACTTTTACTTATTAACAGTTTTATATGTTAGTTTTAAAAACTATTTTTGGATTTAATATTTGACCACCAATTATTAATGAATAGAAATATTAACAAAGTTGTAATATCTAGTTGATTTATATGTGTTTAAAGTTTCATTTGTGTATAATTTCTCTCAGAATTTCTAAGGAAACGTGTTCTAACTAAAAGACTACTAAAATTGCAATTTTCAGATAGAATGAATGATTAATCACAGTAATGATCAGTGTCAAATTAGATCTTAAATCATACTAATATAATTATTTTTATTGTCCATATGAGTTTTTAATAGGAAGGACTTAGTGTTTTTAATTGAAGTTTTTGGTTTTTTGAATTGGGGTTTTTAAAAATCACTAGTTTATTAAGAGAATCTTACTCTTGTTAAAACCCAGCTTTTAATTTGTTTATTTTAGACGAGTAAAACTGGCTCATAAGATGAGCAAATGGAATAGAAAAGTACTTTTTATCAATGTAGTGATTTTAATGTAGTATAAGAAAGAATAGATATGTACCTTTAGTTTATGTGCTATATTTATGTTTACTTGATTAAATTCACTTGTTTTTGGCATAAGTGTGGATAAAATTGAATTCAAATTACATATACTGTAAATATATTTTAACATAGTTAAAATTAACTGTCTTTATACTTTTAATAATATTGTCCATTAAAGAAGTTAAAATATGAGGCATTTTAAAATCACATTAGCAGCTAGACTTGCTTCGCATTATTGAATTTTATTTAAGAAGAGGTGAAACAGAAACTGTCCCAAAAGTCATGAATTTAATGAAAATTTTTCTCCTAATCAGATAACTTCAACTGCTGTCTTTCTTTTGACCAATTACAGGTTAAGTATAATCTGAATAAAAGAGAATTTTAAAAAAATCTAGGTCATGTATTGTTTTAACATTACAATTTATTTACTATATTTTAAATGTAAGTTCATAAAGATTTAGTAAAATGGTATACTTTTAAAAGTTAAGTTGACTTATAAATTATAGTTTTGGGCAAAACCATGTTTATTATTTTATAGAAAACTTTGAGGTATATTTTGTGATAGTATATTGCCAAAAATAGAATTTTCATTTAGGAAAAGACTGTGCACATTTGGCTTATTGATTCCTTTCTTTATTTCCATGTTAGCCACAGTCCCCACCCTTAACCCCTACTAGTTTATTCACATCCAGTACTCCTAATGGGTCCCAGTTTCTCACATTCTCCATTGAGCCCGTGCATTATTGTATGAATGAAATAAAAACAGGGAAGCCCAGAATTCCTTCTTTCAGAAGCCTCAAAAGAGGGGTAAGTTTAATAATGGGTTAAAATGCATGATGGCCTATTGTGTGTGTAGTGTGGCTTTTAATACTCTCCACCCTCATTATAAGGCTCTCTCCTGTAAATACATAGTTTACAACACCACAGAATTAAGTATAGCTGCCCTTAAGTTAAAGACAACTCCTCTTTATAACATTTGAAATGCTCAACCATAAAAGAATGGTGTTATAAAGAGGGTGCTGGGTACAATCATATTTTAGCTATTTTTTGTTTATGTGAAATCATATGTCCACCATTGTCTTGTAATGTATTTACATTTTTAAGACTTTCAGTAATTTGTCACTGGAGTTACTCTTGTAATAATTTGTCACCAATGCTGACTTCACCTGCCAATTTTATAATGTATTATTTTATTGATAAAATACCAAACTTAATTTTTAATTGCCCTACTTAACTTTTAGAAGCATAAAACAAAATTTGCAATAGCTTAATAAAAAACTAAAAATAAGCATGTTAGCCAAACATGGTGGCATACACCTGTAATCCCAGCAGTTAGGAGGCAGAAGTAGGAGGATCTAGAGTTCAAAGCCAGCCAGCACTATGTAAAGAGTTCAAAGCCAACTGGAACCACATAATAAGACCCTATCTCAAATAACCCATACAGATATGCATGTGTACATACATTCTTACATTAAATGTAAAGATTATAGATCAAATAATAGATACTTTTAAATTATGAAGCTCATAAAAATATGTAATTATTGAGTGGTTTACATGAAAATTGCTAAACTATTTTTTCTAGAATTTTCCCTTTTTAAAAAATTGAATAGACTTTGACATCTACTTATTCCTGAAAAAACTGCAAATGAAGATTTATAGAATAGTAAACTTCAGCTAAGTATAACTGTTATACTCCTGATAAGTAAATTAGTGTTATTCCATTGTGTATATTAGTGAGGATAATTTTTTTTCCTTTTCTTTATTTGGTGCTAGGAACTGAACCCAGGGCTTGGCTCATGCTAAGCATTCACTCTTACACTCAACCATATCCCAGTCCTCTAGTTTTTCTTGTCTGTGTTTGATTTTTAGGATATGCTCCTATAAATTAGATTCATTTGTAAGATTTGTCTGTACATTGGAAAAACAGACATGATAATCCACAGATGAAAAATGAGTGTTATCACTGCTGTGGGAAGTCTAATCATTAACTGTAATACACTGAAGTTGGATTCTTGTTCCATTTCCAATTTCCCTTTCCTTTTTGTTTTTCTTCTCTTTCCTTCCCTGTTGTTTTTTTTTTTTCTTTTTTTTTTTTTCCTTTCTGTAGCCCTTCTGATATCCAGTTGTGTTTTGGCCCTTGTAGAAAAAATATTTATTTGCATTTAACAATATATCTAATTTTACTAATGCCATTAATATAGTAGAAATGTTCTAGTGCATTTTGACACTTCTACTTTTTTTCAGTCCTCCAATGAAATGGACTTCTTTGCTTCTATCTTGCCTAATTCTAAGTGTGGATAACATATATGATTCATGACACTTTGAAAAGTCCCTGTGGATGGGTTTATATTGTACTTACAGGCATACTGTTAACCAACTTTTAAAATCTTAATACTTGCTTGAAAGACTTTTAAGAAACCATATTTGGCATTTCTATTGTCTTGAATTATGTGAGTAGAATTTATTCCCATGTTGCTTCTCTATATCATAGAAATACAACATAAATACAATTCTGTAAAAAAAAAAATTCTTAGGCTGTTAGAACTAGAGAAAGAAGCCTTAAAATATGACATCTTCATTCTTACTGAACAAGTAGAATTTTACAGTGGCAACTTAAAACCATTTGCTTGATCATTATTTGTCTTATTTCCACATAGTACTTTAAATATTTAGGCTTTTGGTTGAGGAATCTTTTAGAAGGCTGAAATATCCTTCCAGTTTTAGTACTAGTTATTACACAAAGAGAACAATGATGTGCAAGATACAAAATACTATATTAGAGGATGGAGCAGAAAGGAAGTATGTTACAACTTTAGGATTTAAATTTTTTTTTCTGTTTCTTTGGTAGTTTACTAGGTACTATTTAAAAATTAACTATAAAGAAGCTTTCCTGTCACTTAAGAATTTTATTAGTATAGAAAAACTGAAAAAAAGAAAATAAACTTTAATAAGTGAATAGGTATGTTTACATTGTTTTTTTTTTTTTTTTTTTTTTTTGTCCTGTAATCTTCCAGAGTAGGACTTGAGATTTTTTAAGCTGATGAGTTGTACCATTCAATTCAGAAACTCTTGTTTGGGGCTATATTTGTTGGGCATTGTTCTTCATAAGTATTTTTTAAAAGTTTTAATTTTCTTTCTTTTTTTTTTTTAAAGAAAAACTAGTTTATATAGTATCCTGTATTATTAGTAAGGACATGAGAAATGTTATATTAGACCAGTGATGGTGAACCTGTTAGAGCTTTTAAGTGATAATAGCCAACTTCAGCATATGTGCCATAGGTTTGCCACCACTGTGCTAGATCAATAATTTTGAGTTTGACAATGATACCAATGAACTCCCTCTGAGGAACGAGGATCTATAGTTTCTTCCTATGACATTTAGGGAAGTATACCAAAACTTGCCTGCTTTTATTATCCACACTAATAATTTCTACTATTTCATTTGAGTTTCATTAGATATTCCTTTCTGTAAAAGTAATCAAATCATCTAATAATAATAAGTTCATATTTTTTGTCTAAATTACTTATGACTTACAGGCTTCCAGGTATTTTGTTTTGTTTTAGCTTTAATCAGGGTACAGTTCTCAGGATTTTGACCTATTTTAATTTCCTAATTTCCTTTTTTAGATCTTTTGTATTAGGATATAATGGGTATTTATATGAAATTTTCCACTTATAGATATATTATAATTGTACATGAGAATGGTATTTTTGCATTGAACATTTATTACTTTAAAAAGTATACAAAATGCGGGGCTTGGGATTTAGCTCAGCGGCATAAGCACCTGCCTTGCAAGCAGGCAGTCGTGAGTTCGATCCCTGGTACCGATAAAAATAAAAAAGACCAAAAAACATATATACAAAATGTTTCTAATATTTTTACAAAGAATTTACATCCCTGAATGCAAGATTACTGGACCATAGAATTGTTTTCCATTTGATAGTAAAACTAGGTATAAAAGGAAATCTTTAGTTTTTCAGCTATAATTACCTACTATTTTCTCTAAAAGATACTAATATAGAAATTAGGGCAAGTATATCACTTAGAAATTTAGCTAGTGAAAATTGGCATAAAATTAAGTAAATATTTTAGATATTGTTTCTTGGCCTATATAACATTTAATAGCATTTCAATGCAGACCATTAATATCTTTCCTTAATTTAGACCTTCTAATTTCCTCACCAGGAATTTTGTGATAGCGAAATAAATTGTTTTTGTTTCTTAAAACTACTGACAGTCTAAAGAATGTTAAGCTTAGTTCAGAAAGATAATGAATACCAAATGTCATCTTTTTTTATCTTTGTTACCATTAATATATATATGGTCAACTCATCAGAGATAAGGGGTAGATATTTTTGCCACATATTTATTAAAGTTCATTCATTTTTTTGTGTGTGAAATTCTATCTGACCTCTCTGTACCACCTTCTCTTAAAACATGATTATTTAAATCGAGCATGGTGGCACGTTCCTGTAATCCCAGATACTTGGGAGGCTGAGGCAAGAGGACCGCAAATTCAAGGCCAGTGTGTGCAAATTTGCGAGATCCTGTCTAAAATAAAATGATTTAAAAGGGGGTGGGGTTGAGGTATAACTCAGGGGTAGAGTGCTTGCTTAGCACCTATGAGGCACTGGGTTCAATCCCCAGTACCAGAAATTAAAATTCATGATTTATAAATCTGGGGAAAATGAAAAATTTAGATGCTGCTAAGCTAAAATTAATGAGTGCAAAGACTAATTCTATAAAGTTTGCCATATATTGTGGGACACTGTGTGTGTATGTGTGTGTGTTTATATTGTATAAGAGCAGTGTGATTGATTTTTTCACACTTGGTGACATTTATATTTTTAGAAAGAATAAATTTTAAACAGTTCTCTAAAAGTTACATTTTTAGTATTTCTTAAGCATATGGATTTCAGAATAAAAACTGGAAAGTAGAAACTATTTTAAAAGCAAAAGTTGGCCCATATGTTTGTGTCTGTTAGGAAATATGTCATAGGAAACTTAATTTTGGGTAACTAAATTTATTATTTTGATATTATAATTTTAATATATCTGTGCAATTTAAGAAAAGACACATAAAACTAAAAGTGTTGCCTTCATGTAATCATGATAAATTTAAATTCAAAATGGTATTTCTTGAACTGTAAAAATTTATACAATGTTTTCTTTAATGCATTAGGAAAGACATCCTATTTTTTAATATTTTACAAAAGATTTTAAATGGATAATACTATGCCTTGTATATTTAACTTTTCAGATAGGGCTTTTGAGAATGAAGTTCTATATAAGTAAAACTCAATTATGTAAAAATTCTCTTTAAAAGAAAGTGGATGGTTACTGATAGAATGATAATTTTTGGGTTTTAGTCAAACTTAGAAAATATCTGCCCATTATCATCAGTGTCTTGCCTTTTTTTTTTTTTTTTTGCAAGTAATTTGCTTTCCCAAAATGTGCTTAAAATTGGTTTTTTTTTTTTTCCTGGCATAATTGTTTGGATTGTGAAATGTACATGACTTATTTCAATATCGTAAAAAGCAGAACAACTATAGATTATTGTATCTTCTGTATTATAGTTTCAATTAAGTAATTTACCATTTCTTTCTGTTTTCCATTGAACTATTCAGTGGTCGGTGAAGATGGTAAGCCTTGTGTGCTGATCTATATACTGTGCCAACTTTAATCTCAAAACATTGTTTTGTTTAATTTAAAAAAAAGTGGTAAAATACATTCCACATTTCACTTTGTGTGTGTTTTTACTTTTTTATAGTTTAATCCATAGTCCAACATATGCCAGTACTTCTCAGTGTCATAGATTAGAAAATAATGTGGTTAATTGTCAACAACTTATTTTAGTTCTTAAATGTTAAAAGAATGAAATTATAATTAAAAGATATTTAAAAGTTATATGATAGAGCAAAAGTTCATTATACATAGAATAACAATTTAGCATGAATTATCAGAATCTTTTTAAAAGGTCATATTAGTTTGATATACAATAATTTACCATAAGAATTGTTAGATTTTTCCCAAAAAAGAAAAATTTTTTCCCACTTACTGTGGGGTAAGTGTTCTATCCTTCTGTGTTAGTGGAGGGAAACAGAAGTTTAAGTTAACCTAATTATTATTATAAGTGTGCGTGCATGTGTATGTGTGTGTATTTGAGATATTCCTTATGTATTTATTTTAAACATATGAGTGGAATTACATTGTGAAGAATGAACTACCAAATTGTTGGGAACTTGTATAGGAAGCTATATAAAATAGCTTGGAAAATAACTACTTTTTTTAAATATAGTTACAATTCAGCCTTTTATGAATCTTCTTGTAGTAAGATAGGTCTCTAAATGCCTTAGAAGGTTTCTTTACATTTATAAGAAATAGAATGAGTTCAGCTTTTGTATTACAATATTGAAATGGAATATTTGAAATGCAAGTGATTAGATATCTACTGTAAATAAATGCAATAACAAGATTTAATGGAGGGACAAGTGGAAATATGGCAGATTTACTTGTGTGGATAATTTGTCAGTTTATTGTAATATTATCCCAAAAAAGGACTACAACATTGCAATATGTTTCATTTTATTAAATAAAATTTTGAGAATTTTAAAAAATTAACAAAATAAATTAGAAGCTTATCTTTGCCATATATGTATTTATTTATTTATTTTTGGTGCTGGGGATTGAACTCCCAACCTTGTGCTTGCCAGCAGGTGCTTTGCCACTGAGCTATATCCCCAGCACACATATATAATTTAAAACTTGTACCCCAGTTAGGATAAACCTAATAATTTATGTTGACAATTAACTACTGAATTTAAAGAAACTATATAGGAAACTTTGCCATTTGTTTATTTAGGTCAGATTTAGTTGATTCACATTGTTTCTGGTGACTGGTATAGAAAAAACAATAGCCACTTAGGATGCCCTTCTTTTGATCAACAAGCTTGTTGAATGTCCCGTGTGCAGAGCACTGGGGAAAGATTCTAAGGCTTCTGTTATTAATTAAATATTACATTTGATTATAATCCATCCTAAAAGTGAGGTTCCCCCCCCCCCCTTAAAGTAACTGAAGCATTCTTACAGCCGAAGGAATAAAGCTATGCAGTAGTACAGATATAAGTGGCCCAAATTTTGGGAGCCCATTTCAGCAACTCTGAGAAAAAGTGACCTTTATTATTCTCAAAATAACCATTTTGAAAGAAAAATGAAGAGTAATAGCTATCATCAGTTTTCAGAGTATATAGAAAGTAAATACACTTTTATATTGAGTTCAGTAGTTGCTGATAATGGTTCTGTTATGATCTCTAATAATGTAGCTAAACTAACAATGACCAAAATAACATTAAAGAGAAAAAAGATGTCATTTGAACAAAATCTTACATGTTAAACACTAGCACTTTTTCTTAGTTACTTGATTAAGCCATTAAGAATTTTTCAGATACCAAGATCCTTTGTATAGAAGGATTATATCTTTTCTTTGGGTTTAATCTTTTTTTCAAGTGAGGTAATTTATTTGGTTTATATAAGAAAATTAAAAATATATTCCATGTATAATTTTACTTACTGAATAATTCAGTTTTTTAAATGATCAGATACATTTTCATTCCAAACAATGGTTTAGTGAGTGTAACCAAAAATATGTAGTATTGAAGCATATTCCATTAATCAGTTGCCATTATGAGGTAAGTTACTTACTTAATCATATAAACTCTTCGTATTTTTAGTTTGAACATTTGTAGCGTTCTAAGTATCATGGCAGTGAGTTTGATTTGGGAAGGTGTAGTGATAGGTGGTATAATAACTTGTGTAGATGAGAAATGTTATGTGTTTTCATTTTGTTGTTGTTGACGTAAGAATTTTCATATGTATTCATTTTAACTCTGCCAAGATTTGAAAATACTGTAATACCTGAATTTGGTGGTATTTTTACCTATTCTGTTTCATGGTTATAAATGTGACTGCAATGTGAGCTCTTCAATGTAACTGTGCTCATTAATGCATCTGTGTAAATTTCCTTTAAAAAAAACAAAGGGGGTTGTTTGAGTCAAATGTGAAATTAAAATTGTTGTGTATTCTTATTTTAAAACAAGTAAATTTAAAAAATAAGATTTTCTGGGCCAGGGATATAGCTTAGCGGCACAGTGCCTGCCTGGTAAGCACGAGGTCATGAGTTTGATCCCTGGTACCAAAAAAAGAATCATAAAATAAAGTTTTCTGAAAATTTCTTTAGTAATGATTTAGATTCTCTTTTCAGGGCCCAGCACTAGAAGATTTCAGTCATCTGCCACCAGAACAGAGACGTAAAAAACTTCAGCAGCGCATTGATGAACTTAACAGGGAACTACAGAAAGAATCAGACCAAAAGTAGTGTTTCTTTAATTTCTCAGTATCATTATTATTTTTAAGAGTCTACTTTGAACGATGTGTGTAAATGAGGTATACAGAGCATTTCAGAGTCATATATTCTGGATTGAGGATATAGCTCAGTGGTACAGTGTTTACCTAACATGTCTGAGGGCATGCATTCAGTTCTCAGCACCAGTCATACTTTTTGATTGAAATGTCTTTTTTTTTTTTTTAAATTGAAACAAGATTTCATTATATATTCTAGGCTAGTCTTAAACTCATTGTTGTACAGTCCAGACTGGTTTTGAACTTGTTATCCTTAGCCTCTCTGCTGCTGGGTTTACAGACAGGCATGTGTCACTGTCTAACTCTGATTGAAGTATCATTTGAGAAAAAAGATATACATTTATGGTTGCCAAGTCATAGCCAAAAATGAAATGCTAGAGCATTTTTAAAAATTGTTTTAGCATTCTACTTATTTTTTTTATTTTTTATTTTTTTGCTTTTATCAGTACCAGGGATTGAACTCACGACTGCCTGCTTGCAAGGCAGGTGCTTATGCCGTTGAGCTAAATCCCCAGCCTCTCATTCTACATTTTTGTTAGTTGCTGTAGTATATATTTATGTCTTGTACAAACTTGTAAACTGGTTTGATTCATTATTAAGAGTAGTTGCTTCAGAACTAACCACCTCTGTATACTTTGATAAATTTTTGTTTTGGTATTTAAATTGACCTTAGTATAAACTTGACCCTATAACTATTTGCTTCAAAACATTTTAGCAAACATTTGTTCAGTTTGTGAGTTTTGTTCAGTTTGCAAGTTTCCTTCAGTTTACTTTTTTAAAAGAATGAACATCAAGTTTTGATTGTTTTTTTTTTTTTTTTGAGTACCTGGACTTGAACTCAGGATCTTGTGCTTGTCAGGCAGGTTCTTGCACCACTAGCCTATATCCCTGGCCCTGACATAGAGTTATTTATGATGAACAAAGGATTGATGAAATGAATTAGTGACAGTATTTATTTTTACTGAAGATGAAATTGTGAGACTGGAGATAAAGCTCAGTGGTAGAGTACTTGCCTAATAAGTGCTTAACTTCTAGCTTGAGAGAGTAAAGTTTTGGTGTTAAGAATTGTTTATCAGGTATCATGGCATGCTTAATCATAAATCAGATATTACAGTTGATTCTCATATTTCACAGTAGTTAATGGTCCAAAGTCATCAGGAACACTAAATTACTATGTACTGAAACATTGTTCCTAGAGAAAATACAAGGCTAAACTCCAGGTAGCCACTGGTTGAACACTTTATGAACAGATAGATGCATATACATAACCTTGTTTTATGCTTCTTATTAAAGATTCTTTGTTTAATAGTGCTGATTCATTAACTTTGAGCTCTTCCAGTCACATTTGTCATTCATGTCTAAACAAAGTTTATGTAACACAGACAATGTCTCTGTAAATAATGTTACAGTCTGATTGTATTAACCACTACACAACATTGTAAACATCAGAATTACTAACAAAAAGCACAAAAGTGGGAAAAATCGCACTACCTAGATTGCAGAAAGGACACTAAGAATATGGCAATTGAAACAAGAAGGCAAAAGTTTTCCTCACCTGACCTTAACTAGGAACTTGCATGTGCATCCAGTACTCAGGTTTTCCTGTCCTGTACACATCCATGAGTGAGCGGGAAGGCACTTTGAATATTAGTTTTAGAATTACAAATAAATTTTAGTGAATAGGCAGTTTACAAATATGGAGTCTGTCAACAATTAAAATGAACTATATTACTATAAATAGTATTTAGTATAAATTAATATTTCTTAGAGCACCATAAAAATAGTCTTTGGAAAATTACAGCATTTAGTCTAGTATTTGTTGCTTTTAGTCTACACTAGGAATTATGCAGGTACAAAAATGAATAGTGTAGTGCACATTTTAGTTGGGGAGGATAAGACTAACATAGGCCATAAGTTTTACACAAGCTGGATTGTTACAACTGCTAATAGATATAAATAAGGAAACCTAGAGGAAAGAATTACAAAATTTTACTGAGATAATTAGGAAGGACTTTACTGAGGAGACAGTGGGGAAGAAAGAAGGCTGTAGTCTAGGAAATGAATGTTTCAGTGATTTTTGTGCATCAGATACTGAACTATGTATTTTATGTCAACTGAATTCTTCAAATAGCCTTACAAGTTTATTGTTCCTGTTATATAGATGAAGAAACTAGGTGTCAACTAAGTACACATTTTATCTAAAATTAGATAGAGGCAAATACCAGTTAACATTATAGACACTAGTCAGCTTGTCTTCAGAGCATTAGAATTGGACCTTGATGGGAAAAAGTAATTTTGTTAAATATGAAAGTGAGGGAGAGGGAAGGAGTATTCACAAAAGTGGGAACGATAACATTAATGGCATAGAAACGTGAGTATTTGACATGCCTGGAGTTTAATCTAGTTGGCTTAGTTAGAAATGTGGAGTATAATGACAAAGCATGAGTGTGAAAAGATACAGGATGAAGTATGAATTATCTTGAACATTTTGTTTGGAATTCTGTAGATACTGAAGAATCATCAAAAGTTGTTGAAGGATAGATACTAGCAGCTTTGTGTTCTAAAGAATGGTAATTAAAAGTTGTATGAAAAGCAGATCCTAGAGAAAGAAGATTGGAGGTAGGGAGACAAGTTAGGGCACTCGGCGTCAGTCCAGGCAAGAATTGCCAAGGTCCTAAATTAAACGATGGCCATGAGAAAAGAGTGAAGAAATAAATGTAAAAGTCAATTTAAAGCTAAAATAGATTGGACTTTTTACTTGACTGAATGTTGTAGAGGAGAAAAACGAAGAAGCTTTAAACAAGAAAAAGCCATAGCTCAATAGCTGTAGAATTAATTGAAACTAAAAAAAAATTGAAACATAAATTTGGTACAAAAATATGGTTTTGCCTGTGTTGATTTTTGAAATATGTGGAAAAATCTGTGTTGGATTGGAGATACAAATTTGGGATTTAGAGATAAAGGACGATACAGATATTTGAGAATTATCCAAAGATAGACAATATTAAAACAAAAAGAAGTCATCCTGAAAGAGCAGCGTAGGATGAGATGAGAATTAACCTCTGTCATTTTATGTAACAGACATTTGAAAATTAAACAAGGAGAAGGAACCAATGAGATCAAAAGAAAGCAGAGGTGAAGAGGAGGAGGAAAAGAAAATATATCCTCCAGGTCAAGAAGGAAACAAGTTTTTAGGCATGTTTGTCTATGATGTTGGATGTTAAGAGTCTAGGAGCGCTCATTGGGTGAAACCTCTTGTAATATAATTGGAGAAGAGGAGCTGGGTTAAGAGGAATTGACAAATGATTGAATTTAAAGAGGGGACAAGTTAAAGATGGCATTCTATTTCTAGCATAGATGAGTGGGAGGATGGTGGTGCTGTGTGAACTAGAGAAAATACTGGTAAAATAATGTAGCTGGGTGGGGATATAATGATTTTGATGTAGGGACATGATGGCTGTAAGAATACTGAGGAGTATTCTACCAGCCATTTATAAAACCTGTGCGTAGTCCTTATCAAGAAATGAAAAATGAAATCTGTTTTTTTTTATATTATCAATGTTTAAAAGATATTTTCCATAAATTATATACTTTTTCAGCTTTATGCAAATTGTATTTAGTCAGGTAATATTTGACTTAACTTAAAGAGATGTGACCCAATTTGATGTGAAGTTATAGTTGAATCATCCAAGTAAAGTGAAACTCTTACCTAAAAGCCCATGAATACTTACTTGTGTGATTTCTTTTTCTTTTTTAGAGATGCACTCAACAAAATGAAAGATGTATATGAGAAAAATCCACAAATGGGGGATCCAGGGAGTTTGCAGCCTAAATTAGCAGAGACAATGAATAATATTGACCGCTTGCGAATGGAAATCCACAAGAATGAGGTAGATTTGTTATTCATCAGTTATTTGAGGCATATTTTTATAATTTTCATTATGATAGGTTAGTTTTTGTAGAAATAGGTTACAATATTTAATTTTAAATGTAAAATATCATTGTGGTTTATATAGATTAACGTACAATTATATGTGGTATAAATAGATTCTTTAGTGGAGATTCTTAAAGCCTTGATATGAGGATAAACATTTATACTGTGTTTTAAAAATCAGCTGCAACATTGATTATTAACCAAATTGGAATGTTTTTGATCTCTAGACTCACAATAGTTATAAAAACTCAAAGCACATTTCAAATGTAGGCTATTGTGTAAGTTTTTGAACAGACTTACTGAACTCAGTTGTCTGCTTGCTTGCTTGCTTATTTATTTGTTTATTTATTTTCCTAAGGCATGGCTTTCTGAAGTTGAAGGCAAAACAGGCGGGAGAGGAGACCGAAGACACAGCAGTGATATAAATCACCTTGTAACACAAGGGCGAGAAAGGTTGTTTTAAAAAAATTTCTGGATTTGTATTTCTTTTTTTTCCCCAAACATTTTTCATCTCTTTATCCTAAACTTCTTACAGTTCTATTTCTTCATACGGTTCTTTTTCTTCCTCCTTGTCTTCCATGGTTCCCTAATTTAACAAGTTTGGCATTTCATAACTTCAGTTTTTTGAACCTAAGTAATTTTCTATTCCTTTAAATGATTGATTACAGGTGAAGTATGATATTTCATCTTGCTGTTTAATTCTAGTTTGTCATGCATCTAAAACCAATCTGATCTAAGAACATAGAAAATTCTTGGAGCTACAATTTCAAGGCGAAGGAACCTCAGCACAGAAAGATTTTAAGTAGAGTTGATAACTTAAGTCAAAGAAAAATTTTACTGCTAACTGCTTAGTTTTGTTAAAGAAAAAAGGGTTATGTATTGCTAGTGTGGATTGGTTTTCAATTTGGCATTTTGTCAGGTTTTCATGTTTTGTACTACTTGTGACATTTTCTCCCTGATATAATGTCTTCCTGTTCCCTCACAATAAAAATTTACAAATTAGGATTTACTTTAGAGAAGAATCTGACATGTCTAATATCAAATCTTGGTTTGCTACTTAATTACTAAGTAATTTGAGCAAGTTCATTTTTAATATTCCCTGAATCTGTTTCCTGATACATAAAATGGAGGTTACACCAGATAGGGAATCTTTAGTATTAAAAGAAACAATATACATAAATTATGTAGAAAAAATACCTGGAAATAGTATGTGCTTCACAAATGTTAGTTCTTTGCTCTCCTTTGACACTTTTTTGAGAATTTCTGTCTTCTGTTTATCAAGAAAGATCCACAGGTAACTGGTTTTTATTGTTAGCTATAACTCCAGACTAGAAGGATCTAGCTTTCCTGGCATGCATTATTTAAGAATGAGGATTCCAGGCTTATGGAGAAGTGCTGCTAAATATAACCCTGTAAATTTTTCCATTATTAAAATTTTATTCGACCTTTGATATCTTAGCAAAAATTTTTCTTTTTTTTTCTCTTTGATTTGAAATTTTTTAAGAAAAATAAAATATACTTTTTATTACTTGATGTTTAGGACTTCTCTAAGTTGTTAACTTTTCCTTTACCACAATTAATTGGGGATTGACTTCTGATTTTTTTTTTTTTTTTTTTTTTTTGTCTTTTTCCTTTTTATCGGTACCAGGGATCGAACTCACGACTGCCTGCTTGCAAGGCAGGCACTTATGCCACTGAGCTAAATCCCCAGCCCCTTTGACTTCTGATTTTAATTAGAAGTCTTTTGGTTTTAAGCAATGTAGTGAATGTTTTATGGATACTGATCTAAGGTAAAAATGGACTTTTTTTTTTTTTTTTTTTTTTTTTTTTTTTTGTCTTTTTCCTTTTTATCGGTACCGGGCATCGAACTCACGACTGCCTGCTTGCAAGGCAGGCGCTTATGCCACTGAGCTAAATCCCCAGCCCCCTAAAAATGGACTTTAATGGTGAAGAAGAGCCCAGATGTTATCTGTAAGACTCAATTTCTCATCACTTCCGTCATTTCTCCCCTTTATTATGTAGATTTCATTTTAAGCCTTTGTCTGATCTTCCAAAGCTCTAGGGAGTTTCTCCTAGGTTTGAAGTGAAAAGGGAGCAAGTTTCTCTTAAAAACAGTGCCAGGGAGAGGTCTGGTGCATGGCTTATTTCTGATTGGGTTACAGGTCTACTAGTGAACCCTTCATTCCTACCATGTGAATGCGGTGCTTATGGTCCTGGATCCACAGTAGAGACAGCCACTATTAATGAAACACTGAGCTGGGTCAGTTCTATGATACTTTTGTCAGAAGAGGGGATTATGGAAGACCCGTGTCTACTATGCTTTTCCACTTCATCTCTAGATCTAGTGCAATAAGATGTATTCATGGAATATTGCTGTGTCCCCAGAACATTGCTGAAGCTCCTAAAATAAAATTTTCAAAAAAGAAGCATTTTGCATTAGAAACAAGTTATGTAGTCAACACCTAAGAAAATAGACTAATATGAAACCATGCCACGTAATTTTCTGAATTGATATTGAGGAGATCAACTTATAGATAATACATGAAGAGCTCTCATGTTTGTGATATTTAATGAGGCATAACTGTTTTCTTTTAGTCCTGAGGGAAGTTACACTGATGATGCCAACCAAGAGGTTCGTGGGCCACCCCAACAGCATAGTCATCACAGTGAGTTTGATGATGAATTTGAAGATGATGATCCTTTGCCTGCTATTGGACACTGCAAAGCTATCTATCCCTTTGATGGTATGATGTTCTTCATGTGTATTATATTGATAAAATTGGTTCTGTAAAGTCTAAATACATTGTCATTCATTTTAGTGTGCCTATCTAAATAGTACATTGCATCCTATTCATTAGTATGCATACTTTTAACTATTATACAGGGACCTCTCACACACACTTGGAATCGTAAGAAAGAAAATTATGTTATCAACATTCTGTGACAGATTATTATCTCCCAATTTTGGTTGATACAGATCTTCCATGCTGAACTTACTAATGCTTACATGTATTTAGTATGGTTGAAGGAGCTTGAGCATATACTCTAACCAGGAAGTAGATGGCTGATATATATATCACTTCATGGTCTTGTGGCTTGTGAACATTAAAGACAAATAGAAGGCATAGCAGAAAGCCATCATTGTATCCTAACTCTGCTGGCTACTTTTTCAGATGACAGTGGGAAAGAGAGTGGTAGCTTCTGAATGTATCATCCTGTCTCCCATGATAACTGGAGAACAAACTGTATGAGGGAAGTAAAGAAATGTGGCTCTCTCCTGAAAATTTTCAGTAGCCCTTCCTCCCCTTGACTCAGAAAAATTGTTTTCCTCAACTAATACAACAGTGAACACTTTCATAATTAAGTTCTTTTAAAATTGTGTATGATGTAAAGTCTTTCTCCATTCAATAACCATTTTGTTGGTTTTAAAAAATTGAGTAAAGGGACTAAGGTTGTAGCTCAGGACAGCACTTGCCTAACATGTGAGCCCTAGATTTGATTCTTATCACTGCAAAAAAATAGTCTTTAATTACTCATCTAAAATAACGTATTTACAAAAATCTTGGCATGATGCTATCTAGAAAGTAAAATAGATTTTAGCATATAATAAGTGAAGATTAAGTTGTATAAACTGTTACTGCTATGCAGGTTGGCAGTGGTTGGGTTTGGGAAGAAAGAGTCCTGAAAGGGAATCCTGGTGTTGCTGAGGTCTTGAAGAAAATTTGTGTTTTGTAGCCATTCTGCTTATGTCATCATCAGCTAAAATTGTCTTTTCCTTTGCTCCCTTCCCACCTTTTCACTGTCTTTTTACTATTTTTCTGATCCTTACCTCATAATTTTTTAGATAACAACACTATTCCAACTTGAGAAAGGAATTGGAAGAGTGGAAGCAGAAGTTTAGGATACCTGTCAAATTATATAGTATCATTGTGGCTCAATTACTTCATCTGTTATGTGGGTTGATTTTAATCTAGCCTCAGGGATTATGGTGGTTTAAACAAGGATGTATATGAGAGTGTTGGGTAAAGTACAAAGCAGCATAGAGATGTTGTTGCTAGAAAGAACCAGTGACTTGTGGGAAAGTGCATTGGAATCTAGTAGAGTCTCATGTTATTTTGTGTGTTATACTGCTGACTTATTTAAAGTAATCATTATGCTTACATTGTACTTGTGCTGTGAAAACTCTCGTCTAGGACATAATGAAGGTACTCTGGCAATGAAAGAAGGTGAAGTTCTATACATAATTGAGGAGGACAAAGGTGATGGATGGACAAGAGCCCGGAGACAGAATGGTGAAGAAGGCTACGTTCCCACATCATACATAGATGTAACTCTAGAGAAAAACAGTAAAGGTGCAGTAACTTATATCTAAACTAACCAGACAGTTTTGTGCCCTAGGAACAGTAATATAAAATGAAACACATTCAGCAGGTCAGAAGAAAACTTAAAAGGGCGTCCCCATTTATTGTTCACTGTGTGAGCTGAGTACAGGTTTGGTCTTAGAGGTATAAATATTGCCACAAGTAACTTTCTGTGACACCTTATCATTTGAGTAATGTTGGTGTGAACGTAATCGATGCTTTTTGCTTTATGTTCTGCTTGAGTCTGTGTGAAGAATTTGTGTTTTTCTGCCTTCTAAATAAAAGAACTTGATTTATTTGGCAGGAACCTATAGGTAGAATGTTCCCTTATCCCTTTTATGTCAGAAAACAGTGATTGTGTGAATTCAAATAAGTAAAACTGCTCTGAAATATTATAGAAAGCTGTCTCCCAAAAGAGTGGTTTGGGCCCAAGGATATAGCTCAACAGTGCAGCACCTGCTTGGTAAGCATGAGGTCCTGAGTTTGATTCCCAGTCCAAAAAAAGAGAGTGGTTTGTTCTAGGAGTTTAAATTTGTAGCTTCAGTTGCTAGGAAGAAAAAGATGAATAACTGGTTAAAAAATAACAATATAATGATTTTCATTTTTCTCTTTAGTCTTTGGTTTTCTAAAGGAAGAAAATAAGCAGCGAGTACAAAATGTATTTAAATAGTAGGCTAATCAAGAGATCTACAAAGTCACCTGATCCAGCTCTTATGTGAATAAATAACTTTCTTTTGAGACTTGAAAATTTTTTTCAAGTTTGCTGATAATTTTTAATAATGTATAAACTTCCTTCCAAATGAGTCCCATACCTGTATTTTTTATCTTGAAAATATCATTTAGGACTATTTAGCAATTACACATAAAAAATAGATTCTAAATCAATGAAGACTTAAATCTTAAATGGAGGGAAAATCTTGGCCACTGCTTATTTAGAAGAGAAACTGCTGTTTTGACTGAGTAGAAGGAAGATATCTATACAAGTATTTTGTGCCTGATTTAGCTGGATTATCAGTTATTAGAACAGATTATTTTTCCACTTAATTGCAATAAACATTTGTTGAAAATACTGTACAGTCAAGGACTGTGCAGCATTAGTTGTGTGATGACTGAGTTAGTTGTGTGGGGAAGGGAGATTGTAGAGACTTTTGGGGCAGATACTTTAAACTGCACACCCCTTTTGGTCTTACCAAAGGTCTTCAGTAATTGTTCTTTTCTTTTTCCTCCTGGACTACAGGTTCCTGAAGAGGGTTTCTGAGGAAATGGGCAAGATGTTGAAGGAGGTTACATGCAGCTGCTTTTGGGGGGAGGGTATTAGAGTTGTCAGGCTCAAAGAGAGAGCAAGAGAAGCAAGTTGCATGAGTGCATGCAGACATTATTTTTTACTAACTTCATTAGCATTTCCATACATTGTTTTAAAAGATCATTATAATTCCAATCCTTAAATTCCTAGTTCACAATTATTCACGTGGAAGAAAGAAAAAAGCCGACAATGGCTAACCTTTTTTCCGTTTATTTTACTCATGTCCAAATCAGAATGCAGAGCTGTCATATAAAATTTGTCTTATGCTTGGCTGTCCGTACAGGACCATCTCTACCCAGCTGTGTTTCAGTTGGTGTTTAGATCCATTGTCTGTAAGAATCTTTGCCATTTGTCAGTGTCTGCCTGCGCCACCTCCGTGCTTGCTTAACATCCTGTTGCATGTCTAGAGTGACTGGATTTAGATTTTTTAGGCATGTCTTTATAATCCCTTGTTCTTGTCAAAGCCTTTGTTTTGTTTTACATTTGTAGTACAAATCACTTTGTCAAACATCTCTAGCACTAATATTTCCATTTTAGTATATATGTGCTGCTATAACTTCCCCACTGCAAACATTCCAGTTTTGGCATTATGAACACATAGTCTGTGAACCTGAAATTTTGATGATAAGAACAAGAAAACATCTCTGCTCTAGCCTACTGCCCAGTTGAAAGACCTCTTTGAAACATAATACATCTTCAGCATCTCAGTCTGGGAAGAATCTATAGTTAGCACTGAAGTCCTGGCATAATAAACACAGAAGATACTCAACCACCTCAAGACAAAGGACTGTTGTCAGAAGTCAGCTGCTTCCATTCAAATGCTGCCTTAAACTAGAGTGCCTAAATCTGTTGATTGCCAACACTACCACTACAGTATCCCACAAAGGGCTTTATGTCAGTTCAGTGCGACCTCCTTTAACTCTGCAGCACTGCTGCAGCTGCCGATGTAGCCTCGGTAGGTGGCTTTTAGAGCTCCACCATGTACAATGGTGCATCTTCAGATTTATGCATCAAACTAATGACATGTCCCCGTCCATTTTACTTTACTCAGTGTTTTATGAGAAGTTTTATGGACCTCCCCCATTGTCTTTTAATTTAGGGTTATGATGAACTCATTTGATTATTATGATGATAGTCTTTCCAAGTGATGCTTTTGTTTGAACCAGATAAAATTTAGTGAAACTTTGTAATGATCTATGTGCACTTTTACTTGTAAAGTGGAAATTTCTGTATGTTTATACTTGTAAATATAATTGTTGTTAGTGCTCCTATTGCTCATGTTGTCCTTGCCTTACATTTGTGATTTTGTTCATGACCTGTATCTGAACTAATTTCTTAGTGGTATTGTAATAGGTGTATGGGTTGGGTGGGGGGTTATTTGTACCACTAAAACTTCTTTAATTTGGTTCTTTACTGTGTTAAGGGAAGAAAAAGAACGTGAAATGGTTTGTGTATTATTGGATTTTAAGCAATATTTTAGAAGCTGTGTGGCTGTTTTAATAATTTTTCCCAGTGTTATTCGAATCATACAAGGTATACTAAAGCTAAAGGACAATTGTGTGAAAATTAATGCCTTCATAAGAGCAAGTACACCACGGTTACACAGCTGACTTATAGTGTATTACCTTTGAGGCTAGTAAATGATAAAGTTTAGATATTGAATCTCGTTACAGGGTTATTTATATAATGTGACATTATTCAATACTGACATACTACATGACGTAGTTTTAAAATCTAGTGCTATTTTTATTTTAAAGATTAGCAGTAAGAAGGAAATGTGATCTGGCTATGTTTGTCTTCTGAACAAAGCCTGAAGTGCTTATGTTTTTTTGGCTAGCAGCCACAGAGGGCAAAGTTTAAGGCTTTCTTGTAAGGACTAACTGTTCTTTTCAAGCTACTGTTTGTTTTTCTAAAAGCAGGATTTGCTTCCGTAGGAGGCAAGTTCCTTTATGTGGAATAGTGAAACCTGTTTATGGGTTATTATAATATTAAAGACATTTGTACTTGCACATTCTTAAATCATTCTTAAATTTTGAACATGTGAATTGTCCAAAAGAAATTAATTTTTCAGTAATTTTTACTCTGTGCACATGTTGATTTCTTAATGGTAAAGGCTTTGTTAAAGATAGTGTTCTCTGTTGAGAATATTTTCATGGAATAAAACAATCTTTTCATGGTCAGTTAAGGTGTATATCTCTTATTGCTATGTGAACAAAAGAGATGTGATGATTTTGTTCTTGAATATGTTAAATTTTAGGTAATACAACATAGACGATAAGCTTCTGAAGTGTGGCAACCTTTTTGGGAAGTTTTAGAAATTTTATTCTGGTTTTAGTGTCTCTCAAGCTTTCATAAAGGAAAGAAAATTTCTTTAGAATGAATTTAAATGGCATGTAATAATTTGGATTTATCTTTGTTCAACAAAACTGTATGCACAGGCTATTTTTTCACACTGTTTTATCCTTTGCACTCATAAGAGCTGTCCCTGTACACATAGCCCAATCTAGCCACCACATACTAGCCAGTATTTCCTGTGTTTCTGCTCAATTCCTGTTCAATTAGGAAGGACACCTGTGCTTCCTGGTATCTCAGAGTACAGAAAGGAAACATTTACCATAATTAGTGACACATTATAATATATGTAAGATTTAGGAACTCTAATTTCAGAAGATTTCACCTTTTAAAAATGTGAAATTAACATTGCAAACTTTTAGAAACTCAAAAGGAATAAAAGTAATGATAGGTGCTGAACAGTGAAAGATTTTTATTGTTGAGATGAAAATTTACTGATCAGTGCCAAACTTACAACTAGGGACACAGGAAACAATGAAAGTAGGAAAAGAGTCAAATGTTATAGTTTCAGATGAACAGAAATTTGATACAGGGAAAAAGCTCAAGACAATGACAAGGGCTTTTAGACCATTTATGCTGTAAGTTAGGGTTTTTTTTTTAATAATGAAATTCATACATCTTGGCTAGAAAAATTCAAAGAACAAGAATTTGAAGAGAAAAGGTTTTTACTATTCTTCATTGTTATGTGCTATTCCAAAATGGAACACTAGGCATGAGAGGATTAGCTATCTAAACTACAATCAGGAAAGTCAAATCCTACTTGCTAGGGAAAGGTAAAGTCCTTATAACAATATTAACAAAAGGAAAAGGAATTCAGGCTTGTTGAAAAGGATGGTCACGTTAGGAAAACTGTAGAACATATCAAAGATGCAAAATATTGGGGAATGGGTGAAAATAAATTTTGGATAGTAAATTCTAAGAAATTTGATGGTCATTAAAGTGTTTAGCATTTAGAGGAAATGTTAACAGGCAACTGACCTCTATTCCTAAATCCTGTCAACCTCATTCCTGTCTTGAGATATAAGTAAAAATATCTAAGATAGACTTAATGTCTTCATTTCAGCGCAGTTTCAGTTTGACAGAATTTCTCACTCATTTTCATAAGATGGTGACAGCTTTATGTGTGGAGGACGGTGGGGGTTTGTGACAAGCTGATTTGATAAACCAAGACTCAACCGTGAGGTGAGTTTCTTGTGGAAAAAATGTATATATATGTATTAACAATTGTGTCACCCAGTTTAACAAATGGAAAATTATCTTCTCTTCCAACAGTAGCTGTTAACTTGACTGTTGAGTTTGTTTTTTCTTTATAGTTTTACTGCATAGGTATTATTCCTAAACCTGATTCTTTCCTTGTGGTTAAGCTCTGTAAGGATGATGTTTATAAAGATAAGATATGTGATATTTAGCCAGTACACACTGATATATATAGCAGTAGTGAATGCTAAATGTCAAATTGCTTCTATACTTATTGGTAAAAATGGCAACTCCAAAAAGTAGTAACACTAATCATAAGAGTTTCATTTCCTGGAGTTTATCTCAGAAACTACATATGACACTGTGATATGAAGGAATTTCTTACGTGAGCGCTGGAGACAAAGCTCAAGGGTTTACTGTAGACTATAACTTATTTTAGGTATTGGCAGGTACCTTCTCTGGTTTCATGACCCTATTGATATGCAAAGGACCTGGACAACCAAGCACAAAGATACTTTATTTATCCTCTAAAGAAATGCCTCATCTTGCTCAAAGAAAGCCACGCCAAGATCTAAGCCTTGGTAGTGGTCAGAGAGACTGGAAAAGGAGCATGGGAGGAAGGGGACAGGTTCAGCTGACAGAAGTGTAGGCCCTGACAATGCAGTAATGCCCCTTAGATGGTTTCCAGAAGTTTTGGGGGGCAGCTTATTCTTTGTGAGGGAGAGTGGCCTATCTTGTGTATTTGAGGTGTGAGAAGAGGAGACTACTCTTCCTGATACCAGTGCTCAGATGGTACTGTGCTGTCTGATGAAGGGAAGGGGTGGGACAGGTATCAGCTGCATGTCTCCTCTCTTCAAGGTGCTATACAGAACATGAGTAAACTAAATGACTATGAATTGAGAGGGATATTTGTGTCACTGAAAGAGTTGGCAGTTCATGTGTGGAGTTGAGGGACATGAGTTACTTGGTGGCAGCCATAGTAAATGAGATTATTTCTTCAAACAAATGATTAGAAAATTAGTAGGGCCTGGTATTTAGTTCAGTGGCACAAGCGCCTGCCTGGCAGGCGTGAGGTCATGAGTTCAATCCCTGGTGCTTAGAAAAAAGAAAATTAATTGATGAAAGATTTGGGCTACTTTTGTCTCAAAGTTTTATTTTGCAGCTTATTTAAAAAGGAATTATTTTGTTCAACTTTCACATTGGCTTATATATTTATGTACATACTAATTTATTAACAGCTCACTTGTCAGATACCTTGAATAGTCCATTGGGTCTTAAGTTGATTTTTACTTACTGTTTTTTATAAGATTATCCACATTTTATGCATGACTCATTTTACTGTGTGTAGTACTCCATTATAGGAATATACACAACTTACACATCTTCTCATTGATAGACATTTGGAATTTATCTTGAGTTTGCTAAAAATGCTGCTAAAAATGCTATATGAGTGTTTACTGATACATAGTTTCTCTAAAACACATATCTAGGAGTGGAATCACTAATTTAGGGGTTATGTTTTCAATTTTAAAGACATTGCTGCGTTTAACTTCCAAGTTACAATATTTTTACACTCTAAGTTTATTTAAGGATTTCTCATATTCTGTAACCTGACCAACACTTAGAAGTCAGACTTGTCAATTTTTGTCAATTGCAATTAATTATAACTTTGTTTTCCTGATTGATGAGCATATTTACTGTGTTTTCTATTCTCTTTGAAGCCTTTGTGTTTTTAAAAAATCTTTGTCCATTTTTTCTTTGTTGGTTGTCTTTCCATATTTATTCATGGGAATTATCAGTTAAGGATGTTAATTGTTTTAGTTATTCTCACTGTGTAGCAGCTGGCTGATTTTGACTCAGATTTTATCCTGAGGTTGTAGTATTCTCAAAGTTTGACTGAGACTGTAGAGTCCACTTCCAAGATCACTCTTAAGGTGACCCAAGAGATTGAAAACTCATGGCGAAAGCTGCAGTCATTGTAACCTAATCTCAGATGCAACATACTGCTTGTGTGCTATGCTCATGGTCACACTGACCTACTGTTGGTACAGTGTGGGAGAGGATAAGACTGTCGAGTCCTGCCTCCCTGAGGCAGGGAACATTGGGGGCAAATTTTGTATGCTACCTACCAGTCATTCTTTCAGTTTTGTGTTGCTGATACTTTTTTTGTTTCTCTGTTTTTGATGAATAGAATCTCTTCACTTTAATGTGTATTCGCCAGCCTTTCATAAATTGCCCTTTTTCTCAGAACTACTTGATTCAACATATAAACACTCTATTATTCTAAAAATGCTGAGATGTGCCTTCACATGTAGGTTCTTCATTTGTCCATTGCATTAAATTTTTAATGTGATGGTTATGAGGTATAGAATCATTTCCCCCCTGTCATTTGCTTGACCAGTTGTAGTTGTTCAAGATGTCTTTATTTTTAAAAATCATCCATTTCATCTCTGATCAGTAGTTGTCAGACATCAAATTTCAAACAAGAGTTTAAGTTGAGCCATAGCTTAATGGTGAACTTTTATATTGACAGGACAGATATGTATGTGATAAGAACCACTAACTTGGGGCCACTGTAAATCAGTTTCTTGGTTTGAGTTTCATAAATTTTACTCTAAACAGGTATGAGGAAAGGATGTGGTTGCAACCCTCATTCAATGAATACTATAATTACTTTCTTGGAGTTGTGTGTGAAGACTGTCATATGTCTTCATGTGATGGTTAATTTTAGGTGTCAGCTTGACTTTAATGTATACTTACAGCATTCACACATTTCTGAGTGTGTCTGTTCCAGAGAAGAATGGCACATGAATTGGCGCATTGGATGGTGAAGATCCAACCTTACTGTAGGTAGGCATGATCCTGTTGGCTGAGGGCCCAGATAGAACCAAAAGTAGAAAGGCAGACTTTTTTCCTCTTTTGGAGCTGAGACACATCTGCTAGCTTTAGATTTCCGAATTTAAGACAGTAGTAGCCCCCGAAGTTCTCAGCCCTGGGGCCTCACCTGAGAGTTATACCATTGGTGACTTCTGGGAAGATGACAGAATGATAAACAATAGTAAATCAGCCTCTTCAACATTCTGAATCCAGACATTGGAAAATAACATAAAAGAAGAGGAAGGAGGTGTATCCCTAGGACCCTGAAAGATCTGACTAGAAAATTGGAACCTATGGAGAAATTGAAGAGACCACAAGGTAGAAAAAGGAAGGAGTTAATCTGTACTTTTCTCCTGACCTCTTTTTTTTTTTTTTTTTGGCTTATGAGAAAGGATGGTTGAGTCTTACAAACATACACTGAAAGCAAGTGACTGCAGAGGCCTTCAGAGAGAAAAACATCAGTGAAACAAAGCAGTGGATGCTGGGTACTACAGCAGCTGGTGAATGACTCCAGTCCAAGTGTCTGCATTATCCCTTAGACTGGTTGGCCAGGTGCTATTCTAGGGAGGGGTTAACTGAACCTGGGACTGAGAGCAGCCACAGATTGGCTTCATCTCAGGACTCCCAGTGTTAAACTTGCAGGGTGATGACATAAGGGACAATCATGGGAGTAATACATGGTCAGGGAGTTTTGGTCAGACTAACAGATACTCAGTGCTGTAAGCTAAGTGATTCAGATGACACCCTAGTGACC